TTAGAATTGGTCGGTCTGGGGTCCAAGTTTGGTGCAACAGTTTAGATAGCAGCGTGAACGGAAGTGCAGACATATGTCGCCGTAGAAAAGAGCGAGTGCTCGGGAAAGTGTTGTTAATTCTCATGTCTATGGCATCTAAAAAAACATGTCCATGGATCTTTTCGCCTGGTCCAACTGACAAAAGGAGGGAGCATCAATAGCCAAAGCCCATTAGAAATTGACACAGCTCGCTCTTGTCCATTCCGACCGAGGTGAGGATCTCGTGTGGAACATGATGTTAGCCTTGATTCCATCGTCCCTCCACACCAAGATGCCCCCCTCCCTGCCGTTTGGGCTTTTCCTCCCCTCTCTCTCTCTATCTTTCTCCCATACAAGTCAAATCATAAGCCTAGTGATTAACATCCTACAAATACACCTTAATTCAACTCTTCCGCTTCTCCCACTCTACAAATATACCCCTCCCTCTCTGTCTCACACACACACACTCATAGTTAGACGGGCCATAAACATGGAGGCCACCGCACTTGTGCTCCTCCCTCACAGCCACAGTGGCCTCACGGCCAGAGCACCCCCATGCGTGGGCGGAAGAGGTGTCTCCTGCGTGACGAAGAAGAGCTACGTGAGGATCAAGCGGAGCTCCACGGTGCGAGGGGTCATGGCGAGGCCACAAGAGGCGACGCTAGCTCGGGTCCCGGCACCGGCGCCAACAAGGCCGGTGAGAGAGACTGCCGCGGTCACGACGACGACGACCGTGTACCACGACACCTGGTTCGACAACCTGGCCATTGGCTACCTGTCCAGGAAACTTCAAGAAGCTTCTGGTTCGTGCTCGATCGTATACATATTTGCCAGCTTTGGAATGATCCTCCATCCTTCATGTGGTTTTACCCTACCCATGCGAGTTTCGGCTGCATGCGAAGAGACATAATTTTAGTGAATGAATCAGTGTTGCTTTCATAGCTTTCATTAGCCCGCCCTCACGATCTTTGCATCGACTAGGAAGATGGCCGTGTGGCTCAGACATTTGTGTCCCACGCGGCCACACGTATTTGTGGAAGGTCTTTTTCTTTTTCAGATGGGAGATGGTCGGATCTAGGGAGTATAAAAGTGGCTACGTCGACAAAAGAAAAGTTCGTGGTTAATTAAGTTGGACAAAACAATGATCGTAAAAAAAATGTTGAATTAAAAATGAGTAATTTGAGGTTAGATGCTTCACAAGAATAAAATGGGCATTTCCCAGATGCTTCTTTTCGTCGTTAGCTGATGGCCTTGCCACCTGACGGGTGCTACTATGGTCCATTTTTGTCAGTATAGACCGATTAATTTAACTTAGTTCACCAATAGTTAACTAATCAACGTTGATCACGTAATGCTAACCTTGGGTTGATGCATTCGTCCGTACGTGGCACGAAAATTTTGTGCTACACACATACAGTTGATTACTGTTGCTGTCCGTACTATATCTGTATATACGATCATAAATATTACTAGCTTCCTTTTTTTTCTGCAAAGAAGCCATATGTAGTGGTATTATGCATCTCGGTTTATGTCGCCCGGCTGGGTAGGACTTAGGCTCCACATGCATGTACATATAATGTGAGAGAACAAAATTCACTCGAGATTAGTCATGACAGAATAGAAGGAAAATATCAGACGATCAAACCGATTTGATAATATGTTGAAGAGCTTAGCTAGGCGAGCGAGTAGCATATGCATATACTCCCTCCGTTCCTAAATACTTGTCTTTCTAGGCATTTCAACAAGTGACTATATACGGAGCAAACTGAGTGAATCTACACTCTAAAATATGTCTACATACATCCGTATATAGTAGTCATTTGAAATGTCTAGAAAGACAAATATTTAGGAACGGAGGGAGTATATTGCAAAACAAGCGCAAGTGCGTATCAGCATATATAGCCAGGCAACTACGAGTGGCCATAACTTGCCGGCCGTATAAGAATGTGAGGTGCACACTCTAGGAATCTTTCAGTGGTGAGTCTGTCCTTTTTGTTCTTCTTCTTCTTCACACGATACTGCCTAATGGTAATGGACAAGTCAAACAAACACCATGTAGCAAATGGTTTCGCCTAGGAGCTAGCCACTTAGTGTGTCTACTATGTAGCAGCTGTAAATTCCTTCTGGCACTGATCAGATTTTTCGATGACGGTGTGACTAGACATGCGAATTACTCCCTCCGTTCCAAAATAGATGACTCAACTTTATACTAACTTTAATACAAAGTTGGGTCATCTATTTTGGAACGGAGGGAGTACCATTCAGCGCGAGTGGTGAGCTATCTCAGAAACAATGACTAGGCACGCGAATTAGTACGTACCTATGACGTACCCCTGTTTAGTTTTTGCCCAGTTCGTTGATGGTACCCAAGAAAAAGTAGATATTTTTTCTAGACTAGAGGAAAGCGTCAGTATTAGTGTGCTGTTTGTTGTTCACTATAGTTTTCTACACTACAGTTTTAGTTAGATGTGGTCCAAGTTAAGGATGGTCAACACTTGCTGACTGACCTGAACATCATGTATCTATGTCATGTATGACAGGGATAAAGAACGGAAAACATGGCTACCAAGGATTAATAGAGGCCGCGGTGACAATCTCCAGAATCTTCAGGCTCGACACACAGTGCGAGATTGTGGCCAGCGCTCTCGAACGAGCAATGCCAAGCTACATCGTCACAATGGCAAGTACACCCCATGCATAATTAACTTCATAATAGTATTCAGATTTCAGCTAACTATGTTATCCCACCAGTGATTTTCTCAACAACAAAAAAAGTAAAAAAAAACTATATAGGATTTCAAAATTTTGCTTTCAAATTATAAGCCTTCTTTTTGGACACGGATGGATGGGGAAACAGTACAAATGTCTCTACTTTTTACCTGGATTTTGGTTTGACAGAATTCTGTTTGGACAGATAAAGGTGATGATGCCGCCTTCAAGATTTTCCAGGGAGTACTTTGCTGCCTTCACCACCATATTCTTCCCTTGGCTGGTTGGACCATGTGAGGTACTATATCAACAGATTTTCTCTCCTTGACATGTTCTTGCTCCATGCAATAAATATGCAATATTTCACTTCATAAAATAAGTAGCCTGCCCTCAAGGAGGGCATCATTCAAAGAAAGACTCCATGCTAGTGCTTCTGGTGAGCCCTGCCCAAAATGAACCGATATAAAGCCACATGCCAAGTTGATAAATACTGCAAAAGTGGTAGGATGTGGCTTGGATGTAGCAATATACAAGACATTTATAGTACATATATTAATATTTAATGCAGTCCCACATGGAATACACTCCCCACTTTGGATAAGTTTTCTGAGTGATCATTATTATGTCATTGAACAAGGTCAGGGAATCTGAAGTCGATGGAACGAGAGAGAAGAATGTGGTGTACATCCCCAAATGCAGGTAATTCAATCATAACCAAGGAACTGTTCCGCTGAGTAGCTAATGCTAAGGAAAATAAATGCAAGAAAACAAATTTTCGGATGAGTTTAACTAGGTTGATATAAGATGTCCCAAATATACTGGTCCAAACGGTTGCTCTGAGCATTCATAGGTGCAAAAACAATTAACTTATTTTGAAATTAACAGCGCATGATTCTGCAACCATTGATTGAATGAATTTATTGCAGTATGTCCATCTTATACTCAAGTAAATCCACTTGAAAGAAAAGGCAAGAAAGTACTAAGGCTGACATGCCACTTGTATTGTCCATGTCGCAATTGTGGCAAACTGATGTTCCTACTCACACTCCACAAACTGCCTATGCGAATAGATGAAAAATATCTTCTGAAAATAAGAAGAAATGAAAAGTAAGAGGCCAATGCAACATACTAACACTACCCATGCTTGAGACACTATCCAAATTAACACTGGCATAAGGAATATTTACCAAGGTGCAGAGTGCAGACATACCAACAAATCTTGACGTAAGTGGTGCTTATCTTTCTTAATTTGTTATCTTACTCGGCGACAGGTTTCTGGAAAGCACCAACTGTGTCGGTATGTGCACGAACCTTTGCAAGATCCCATCCCAGAAGTTTATGCAAGATTCGCTTGGAGTTTCTGTGTACATGTCACCCAGTAAGCTTCCTTTGCTCTGATCCACGATAGGCTATCCTGAATAGTGAGTATATCAGTGGGTACGCAACAACTGAAATATAATCGGTTCGAATAGAAGTGAAATGATAAAATTAATATTCCGGCCCTCTGAATAAATTCAGCAAGAGATTAATGGATTATCACTTAAGATATTGAAACCTGAAAGTGTATCTTAACTACCCTGGTCAGTGACCAAATTATAATGCAAGTGTAACAGTATACTACTAATGTTGACTTCAGTGAACTTAGAATGACATCTTTCCACTTTAAGTAGTGCTATAATAGGTCCCTAGCCACCTAAATGTTTAGACTAGCCCTTGAAGGGAAATGTTAACTCAAAGCATCCATGATATCAAGATTCTCATATGAATAATACAGAACCCGATACTTAAAGAGATCTCATACTTAAATAAGACCTTGCCATCTATACCTAGGTTCTTTACCTTTTTTTGGTTATGGGAACCACAGGCCACCATTTGAGGAACAAAAAGGGTTGGAGTGGGACCAACGTGTTTGCAGGTCACACATTAATTGCAAGTGTTGGACAGAAATAGGGCTAGAGGAAGGGGGGCTGGCAGACAAGTTGTACTGTCTATTCCAACTGTTCCACAATCCAGGACTAGACATACACAGTATAGGCACCTTCGCTTTAAAGTGCAGGGCCATCATGTTTCAAATATCAGAGGAATATGGTTCAGTCTCACTTATGAGAAGCACTTGCGAGTGTTGGTTCTTCCAGGGTGATTCGCTGTATATTTCAGATGCAACAATCATTGTTTCTAGGTCATATGATGTTGATATTTTATGACGGCAGTCCACCCAACTAGGATCAACTTGAGTTGGGATATGCAAGGCATGATTCTCCTTTTGTGCTTTAGAGTACATAGTTCCAGGGGCAGCCAGTGAATGTTGCTTACTGCCACTACAAAAGTGCTAATTGTCTTACCCCTTGGGGCTTCACTCCTGTATATTACAATGGAGCGTTTCCAACTCCATGTCTGATGCCCACAAAACCAAATAATCTATTCTTTCTTTATCTACTTTCTTTTATTTGGAATAAGTTCAAACAAGCCCTTAAGGACGTTACTAGTTAATTAAGAGGAAATAGAATATTACGTACTTATGTCAATCATATTGTTACTGTTCAGATTTTGAAGACATGAGCTGCGAGATGATCTTTGGACAGCAACCTCCTGAAGATGACCCAGCACTGAAGCAGCCCTGCTTCAGCACAAAATGTATGGAAGTCCCCAAATGAGACATTCAACACATTCAACATAATCAACAAATATTCTTCTTAAGTTTTTATGCTTTTTGACTTTTATGCAGGTATCGCGAAGCAGGACTATGGTGTGAATTGCTAGCATACTTGATCAGATAGAAATCATTAGTGATTAAACACTCCCGAAATATAGTGAAATGCCCACAGCTCCATAGTTATATTTTTCTTGAGAAACTTGCAGAAGGCATTTTTAATACATTCAACTATTACGTCAAATTGTTACCCAGACTCCCAGAGCAGTCTAAGATGAAATGAAGAGCAGAGAAAATCATCATATCACTCAGACCAAGAAATATGTAACTTCACTTGGTGGATCATGTTGTATACTTATATGATGTGTATAGTTGTTCAGTAAACACTTACCCAGTTACCACCAATGTGCATCCACATCAAGTCCGGACCGGTAAAAGAAGAAATTAGTTCAGATCGTTGGTTCAATCTTTGTAAGACCAAGACAAAGTCTGCTCGGACTGTGAAGGTTAAAAGAGTGTAATCATCAATGTGCTCTGGCAATTGTTGAAGTAGCAACATAGGCGGGCATTGAAATATGATTTTCGGCAACATCAGGAACACCTAGTAGCAATCCAAGACGAGACAATCCAGGAGGAGGCTACAATTTGGTAGATGGCAAGAGTCAAATGATCGAGGGAGTTGTGTGCATCTCTGAAAGCGCAAGTTTCAACATGATGGCCTTCATAATACTAGTCCATTTTACTGTTTCTTTAGTTTCTTGTAGTTTACTAGCCTGTTTCGTCTATCTCGCACAAAGTCTCATGTTCACAACCTTGTAAAATTTCAAGCCATCTAATAGGAAACCATTACAATTCTCAGCTAAGGTTGGTGTTTCAGAATAGGTTATTTTCTTTATCTTTTAAGTTTCATATATTATTTGATCTCTGTTTTGAAGAGCAGCATGTCTTATCTCTTACATAATCGAGTTTGTTAGAGAGGCTTTATGTGAAGACGGGACCTCATACATTTAGGCCAGCAAGAAAAAAATAGAAAAGTGCGCCCAAACCTTGCAGGACTCAGAGCCTTGCGTTATGGCCATGGAAGAGCCTAGCCGCGCGATCGATTGAGGACGAGCTCTCCAACTACCCTCTTGTGTGTGTACACACACACATACACACACCATTCTAAGGTATAGCAAATGTGCACCAACACAAAAAGAGGGGCAACGCTGAAAGCAAGCTTTATTTCGGGGATGAGAAGGTTATCTATCTTGATACAACTCCGTTATTATTATGAAATTTCTTGTTTATGTCAGTAGTCTGGACTCTGGAGTTAATTTCGTTTATTACACTGTTCACTCACTTGTACACAGGCTCAGACCACACCTGCAGAGAGTGGAGCTAGAGGCAAAAAATAACATGAGGGCATCACTTTGCGCTTATGAATTGTGATACATTTTAGCCCAGAGTTTCTGACAGTACATTATGCAATCATAAGATTTTTACCAGTTAATTACATACTACTAGAACAGGATATTACATCTACTTGGCAGAAAGTGCACAACATTTTTTGAATATACGAAGTTGGCAGTGGCATATATCTAATTAATCCATCAATCTCATACTTCTAAGTATCTTCTGGTATTTTGTAAAACAATCCGCCAAAAACTGGATCACACTTACAAACACTAATATCTATTAAGGGAAATAAGTGTCTCAGAAAGGAGGGAAAATAGTTCAGCACCTTGTTAGATTGTGGGATAAAGCTCCAGAGAAGTTGTTCTTGGTCCGAGAAAAAGGAAAAGGGTTCCGCATCCTGATTCTGGAAACATTGGTAAATAAATCATGACTGACTTGACCAAAAAGTAAAAAGTATCACAGCTTCAACATTATTACAGAAAAGAATAGTTGGGATCTACCAGCCTGAAGATGCCACTTTCTGGGACCTAGAGCACTTACAGAATATATTCACATAAAGAATTCATACAACACAACAAAGTCAAGACAAGGATAATCATCATTCAGCACTACCGACATGGCATGTACTATTAACATGTTTTGGCTGCTGAGTTATTTCTGTGGCTTGCTTTGATAATTCTACTGGCGTTGAAACTGACACTACTCAGAACAGTTCCTGATCCCTCACTGAATGTGCCACACAATAATATGTATTTTTTTCATAGTAATAACTACCAAATGAAAAACATTCTCTCTTTCCCTAACACTTATTTTCCAGCAAAAGCATATAAACTTGTATGGTTACAGTAGTACTAGTACCGCAAATGGTGCACAGATAAATTTAACATTAAGGAGATGTACCATGTTTCTATTTATTAATATTGAATATCATTAGAGATGCAAATAAAAAATGTTAGCATTAAACAAGGTCCCCGGTTTCCTAATTTATAGTCCGCAAAAGATAAATCTCCAAAAAAATTAGATTTAAGTTTAGTGAGGGGATAAAATCATATCTCAAAGTATGTTCTCAACATGCAGACACGGTCACTACTCCCTCAGTCCTGAATTAGTTATCTTAGATTTGTCTACATACGGATGTATCTAGACACATTTTAGTGTTAGGTACATCCGTATCTAGACAAATCTAAGACAACTAATTTGGGACAGAGGGAGTATTTCACAATCCTTCAGTGCTATTGAAAAGGAATTTAGAAATGGAACTATATGGAGTTCTGGAGCTTATGCCTTTTGGGCTCATGGCATTCTTTTAAGTTTCAGACGTATTGTACTCCCTCCGTCCGGAATTACTTGTCATCAAAATGGATGAAAATGGATGTATCTAAAACAAAAATACATCTAGATACATCCATTTCAATGACAAGTATTTCCGGACGGAGGGAGTATCATGATATCAAATCTAAGACAACTAAGTATTTTGAGACGGAGGTAATAGAATGCTAATACTAATCTTTCATTCACAGAGGTAGCTGCACAAAATTTCCTAGCGAAGGGACTAAGATAGAACATCTAGCAACTCACATAGAGACGTGTGCCTTCCAGTTACTTAAAAGGACAGACCCAGTGCTAGAAGCTCCCACACCAGGGGGATCTGGGGAAGGATTATACGAGGCAAGCCTTACCCCTGCAAGTGCAATGCAGAGAGGCCGCGTCGAAACCAGGACCTCTTGGCAGAAGTGGGGAGTACTTCACCACTGCGCCAGGCCTGTCCTTCGTCCATTCCAGTTACTTGAGATATAAAAATAGAACAAGAAATGCCAAAGTGCAAATAAACAATAATCCCCTCATAAATCATTACTCCTATAAAGACGTCAATGGTGGCGGTTCATCACCTTCTGGCTCCTTTCTGTTGTGAGCCGTTAATCTATTACAAACGTCTGAGATGGTGGTCATGCTTGCCACCAAAGTTGGAATAAAAGCAACATGTTGGGTCGTCTAACTTGATTCATCCATAGTAATGCACAGGTATTTACCTAGTATTGAAAATATTCAATCTTGAGATTTTAGCATCACGACCAATCCCCCTCTTGAGTTTTTGTCCTTCAAACTACTTTTCCCACTGAGTACCTTAAAAATATCACACCTGGACTAACTATTAACACTCAACACATGGTCTAGTCATTCATTTGATGTTGTTTTTCGAGAAGATGCAAAAGAATTTTGTGTTACATTTCATTGAAAAGGAAGGGTTAATCTTATGTCACACTCTAAGGTTTTGTTGGGTTCACAACTTATAGTTCTATCAGTGGATGTATTTGTGAATTGTAATTAAAATATAATTGAAAATCTCATG